TATCTGGGATATCTGATTCCACATTTTGGATTCTGTACCCCGTATCTGGGATATCTGATTCCACATTTTGGATTCTGTACCCCGTATCTGGGATACCCGATTCCACGTTGTACACCGTATCTGGGATACTGGATTTCGGATCTCGGATTTTTCGTTTAAACCCAATTATATAGCTCCAAAAGGTACCTTAACACGTGCAGCCAAATATACCATTGCGAGACGCAAATAAAAAAACATTGTGAATTACGCGATATATATATTTTCATTATTTGTTCTACAGGACAGTCAGTTACTTTAGATGGTAGACTTACGCGGCAACCATTTGGAATCCGTAAAGACGTAGGTGCAATTAGTTTTAATTCCTGGACCAACTGTTACAGCAGCGACCTGTGGAATAACAATGTGTGGTCAGAACGATAAGCAATAGAACTGGCAAAATTTGGACTTCTGCTTGGGTGTGCAAAAATGTCATATTCCCCTAGCCCTTATCGTATGGTTTCGCAAAGCCCTCAAATTGGACAGCTGGCCGCGCTACTAATGAAATACGCCCTATCATATTTGCCGAACTCGCACACCCTAGATAATCAATCAAAGCAATAAGAAGTATGATATTGTTAACTACCTGTAAACAGTAAAGGGTAAACAGTTGCAAACCACCAATTTCGAGCGTTTTGGTCTTCAAAGAAACGCTTGCGTTTTGCGTTGTGTCTTCACTGGCATTCCATACTCGGTAGCTCACCAAGTAACCTCGAAGAATACCAGGAGGTTCTCGGGGGAGATCGTCCCATTCGACCTTCAAACTGTATGCGCTTGTGTTGCGTCCACGAACATTTAGTGGCGCTTCTCTTGGAACTGAAACATTGAAACGCGATCGACAAGATTAGCCTATATATATATGTATGTAAAACAAAACAAAAAACAAAAAAACAAAAACAAAAACAAACAAACAAACAAACAAAAACAAACAAAACAAAAACAAAACAAAACAAAAAAAAACACACAAAAAACAACAAAAAAACAAAAACAAAAACAAAAAACAAACAAACAAGAGTAAAAGGAAATATGGGAATGAAAAGAAAAAAGGATATAAGGAAAGTTACGTTTATAATTAGAGGGGTGGTGAAAGGAGGGCTGAGGCTTCAGAGAGAAGGAACTTTTTGGATGGTCAAACCTTTTTTTTTTTTTTGTTTGACGAAAGCTGTTTCCTTGCAGAGCCACTATGAGGTAAGCGAGGCAGTTGCTTTTTCAGTTACCTCAAAACTATGGAAATCACATTTCCGCTTTCCCTGCAAATATTCTCGAATCCCCCTAGTTGCTCCTGCCTTTGCTGCTCGTTTACATTGGTAAAAAATTTGGTTTGGCTATGGCCCGCCTGCCTTGTTGAATTAATAGAAGGGTCATGAATTTCTTACTAAAAAAAATTACTACAAACCCTCCAGTCCTTTCCCCTCCAATAAAAAAATACCTAAATATGGCACACACACAAAAATAGAGATAAGAATAATAATTATGAAATGGTAATGGAAGTCAAAATATAAATCAAAAGAAAAAATTGAAATGAAATCAACTCACCTCCTTCACCTGTCTTGCACTCAACTGGTTCGTAGCTAAAGTTACCCTCCTTGATTGTCACTGCCTTTGCTTTCATAGAATATGAACTATACTCTTCCAGATCAGTCAGGTTCCAGCAAAACACCGGCGGGGTGCTTACGGTATCCTCAGTCAAACTTTTGCTGTACCACCAGGATTGATTGAGGACCTGATAGAAGATCTTGTACTCTCGCACGATGCCTTGCCTGAGGATAAGAGGTATCTCATCCCAGCATACCTCGATGACTGATGAAGTCTTCATCTTGCATCGAAGGTTAGGAGGGGGGATAAGTGGCTCTGTACGAAAATAGGAAGCAATCGAAGGTTAGAAAAAGTGGAAGCAATCGAAGGTTAGGAAAAATGGCAAGCAATCGAAGGTTAGGAGGGGAAGTGAGTGACTCTGTACAAAAATGGCAAGCAGTCGAAGGTTAGTTGGGGGGATTGTGTGACTGTACAAAAATGGCAAGCAATCAAAGGTTGGGTGGGGGCAGGAGTGACTCTGTACAAAAATGGCAAGCAAACCATGAACAGATAATAAAGGATAGAAAACTGAATTTATGTATTCTTTACTTTTTTATTAAAGGATCCTTGTATATATCTTTAACTTAGTAGCATAAATGAACTTATAAATACAAAGAAGAAACAATTATATAGGGGGGTGGTGTGGCGGAACAGAATTTGCATCTCGCTTGACATTCCACTCCCCCCTCCCCTCCCACTTTGGCCATGTGAAGTTCGACCATCATTGACCTTCGTCTTTGCCGTGTCTTAGCGTTGATCAGCCCAGATGTCTCCCGTTTCGATAATTTTTGTTTTTGTTGTCGAAGGTACAAAAAAGAACCAAGATTGGCCGAGCTCTAGTTTCAGCGTTTTTCCTTGAATGATGTTTATTCTTTCACCATTCAATGGCGCGGCGAGTGTGGTGGCAGGCGTGCTTATTTGAAATGAAATCTCCTGCCAAACCTACAGGATGTCTTCACTTAACCAATTTAGTCCAATATAATTCATATCATTTCTAAAGTCTAAAAATACTCACGGTCCTCTTCGGTCAAACATTGCAACGGCTCACTTTTGTTGCTAACAGCCCTCGAGTTGAATCCCGATACGGTAATGTTATACATGTGGAAAGGTTTGAGATCCTTAAAAGTGGCGTTCAAATCCGACGCGCAAGTGACTTGGAATCCAGTAAAATTATTTGCAATGTCTGTCGAATTCACATTTTCGATAACGGCCTCGTATCCCAAGATGATACCATTAGCCAGGTTTGCAGGAATACCTGACCACGAAAACTTGCAGCTTACGTTGCTCTTTTCCATTATGGCTAGATTTTGTGGGACGCCATCGGGAGCTGGGAAAATAACCGTAAAAAGATTTTAGAAGTGCAAAACATCTTGCCAAAAATCCCACAGTCTTCGTCGGTAAAATATTAGATGAGAAGTCTATACGTGTGCTCGAAAGGTGGTTGTAAACCCTTGGGAGTTTGTTTTCGTTTAGAATAATAGATAGTTTGGGTTGCCTGTGTTGGTGTCATATCTTGGAACAAACGAGGTTTCGGTCAGGAAAGAAAAAGGGATAACAGGGATAAAAGAGAGGGTCTTTTTTTGTATCGCCCGAATATTCTATTATACTTCTAAATATGTAAATGATCTACTTCAACGATGTGGCGGCCATCTTGAATCACAAGACATTATGGGTCGTCCAGGGGGCAAATAGACCTAGCTTTGTTACAATAGTGGCGTAGATTTACATTTACGGTTCACAACAAGACAAATTGCCAAGAGATGAATTGAAAAAAAAAAATGGACAGTTCCACGACTGAGGAAACTTCTCAAATATCGTGTGGTCGTGATTTCAGAATATTTGATTTGTTTTCCCTTTGTAATGCCTTGCGATTCAAGATGGCCGCCTTATCAGTCCATTGTTTTGTTAGTTGGCACATTTACAAGACATCGTAAACAGGAATATTTTCTATTGTTTTATCTACAGCGAATCGTGTTCTACTGAACGTGTATAATTGTTAATTTATCGAATCGAATGGGTATGATTATGAAATGAACAGAAGATTTATTGCGTTATTTGAATAAATTTGATTATTTTAAATCGCTCGTATCGCGTCACAAATACTCATTCTCGCCGCCCAATTCATATATTGGACCGACAACATTTTAAAAAAGTGGGTGTATTACATGTGACAAAAAAGGCAGCAGTTACTTACCACTCTCCCAAGTCATGCATTCCGTTGCATGAAGACCAGTTTCATTACCAAGACCTTTTATTGTATAAGCAGCTATGGTAATGTTATACTTGGTGAATATTTCCAGGCTTAACAGTTCCGTTGTATTACTCAAGGCTCCAGTGACTAACACAAACTTCAGTTCGGCGCTAGGGTCGTCTTGTTTGAGGTAGGTGATATTATAGCCTAAGATAAGTCCATTTTGGAGGGCAACAGGAACCTGGCCCCATTGAACAAGACAGCTGGTTTGGCTGTTTCCTCTTACTCGAACGTTTGAAGGAGGTGCGCCGGGCACTAGATAAATAAAATAAGATATTTTACATTATTATTAAATTATTATATTATTATATTATACAGCTGGTTGGGCTGCTGTTATTAGCTTGAATGTTTGATGCGAGATGCGCCTGGTACTAAACGATCTATAAGATAATATACATCTAGTCTCCCTCGCAGCCGTTTTTAATCTCGCTCCATTCGCCTACGGTCCACTTCTCTCCCCGCAAACGGCTATTTTCTTTCTTTCTTTCTTTCTTTCTTTCTTTCTTTCTTTCTTTCTTTCTTTCTTTNAGAACACAGAAGCGAAAACCAACATGTAATCGTTGTCTCACCCCTGATTAGACACATGTTTCAGTAATAAAAATTATTCAAAAAAATACAAAATAAATGTTTTATTCATTAATTTATTATTCAGTCTTTCTTTCTTTCTTTCTTTCTTTCTTTCTTTCTTTCTTTCTTTCTTTCTTGCCTTACTTCCATCTTTCATTCCTTATTTCATGCCTTCCTTCCTCCCTCCTTCTTTCCATTTTCCTTTTTATTATTTCTTTCTTTCTTGGCACCCCAAAACCCAAAACCTCTATTAAAGTACCATCTATACAAGTGCGGAATAATAAATCAAACCATGACGTCCATACCTGTTCCCTCAGTATAGCAGTAAACAGGCGTACTGTAAGGACTAAGACCTTTTTGGTTAGCAGCTGCTACAACCACGTCGTATATACTGTACAAATCGAGTTCTTTAAGAAGTTTACTTGTATTGCAAACTCCGATTTCACTATAAATAGTCTTGTTCTCATTGCGTTTAGAGTAGACTACACGGTATGACGTCAGGTTGCCGTTTGTCGTTTCGGGAGGGGGAGGGAGCCAGGTTATGAGGCAAGTACTTATCGGATCATGCGGTTTAGTTCCATTCAGTGACGTAACATTAATAGGTGGAGACGTCGGGGCTGAAAGAAACAGATGGGGAAAACAAGTTAACGAATGGGATGTTAGACACTGTTTAGCCAATAAAATTCCACAATGTTCGTATAGAAATAATTAATGTGATTCTCAATCCCGTCTTTGGCAATGTGTCTGTAATACTCTAGTTTCGAGTTCTCTGTTGTACAGGGTTAGCCTTGATTTTGTATGGAATTATTAAATAAATAAATAAATAACTTTATTTAAGTGTGTAGTCGTTCAAGCGCTTTCGCTCTGATTTGGACACTTTTCACTCGCACACACTATCATTATATTCAAAGTCTTATGTACACAACGCTCAACTCACATTTTTGAATATTYATGTGTTCCAGTGGAGGCCCGTGGAATTCCAAAATGTGTGTATTGTTGAGGTTGTGCATTCTTTTCTTTACCGTTGGTATTTGTGAATATTCTCACGCTAAAACGAGGCTAACCCTGTATAAATGAGCCTGTCATCGATTATATATTTACATTTTCCTGTAGTGCTAGTTGTCTTCAATTCAGTGAAAGGCCCTAATCCAATGGTAAAAGCCGCAATTTGAACTTGGTATTCAGTTTCTGATGGCAAGCCACAGAGCTCGTGCAAATATATGGTCTTATTAAAATAATACACAACCAATGTCTCATTTTGGAAGTCATTTTCGTTTGTTCGATTGTACTTTATTTGAAAGCCTCGAATGCGTCCAGGGACTGGTGCCTGCGGATCTTGCCACTGTAACTTGATACATGTGGAATTCAGGGGCATCGCTTCAAAGTTAAGTGGCGCCGTTTCTGGAACTGAAGTTATAAAAATAGAAAGGAAAGAATGTTAAAAATGAGGGACAACAATTAACAAAACTATATCATTTTATAAGAAGGAATAATGAAGTCGAATCAATGTAGGTGAAATCCCTGCAGTGACTACTTTAGCAAAATATAATTTGCAAAGTTTATGAAGAATTCAACGCTGATTCAAAATAAGGAAAGAAAATGGGGTGTCCCAAACTCTTTTTCGAGATATTTAATTTTAACAAGTTTATTTTCTCTTGATCTTAAATATTACCTTCTTATTAAATTATTAAATATTACCAAGCTTCGCACAAATCAAATCATCACTCGAAAGCTAAAAAAGCTGTCACATTGTGTGACCACGTCTTACAATAGTTTCCCCAAAGTGACCTTACCAAAAAAAAAAAAAAAATTAAAAAGCCCAGTAAGACCGCTATTAAGCGGCCAACCACGGGGAATCGTCAATTTTTGTCACATTTCAAAATATTGAAACAAATATCAAGTTAAATAAGTACCTCTTTCTCCAGTCCAAATTATAGTTTTCAACGTTCTATACGTCCCTCCGAGATAATGCAACTGCAACGTAACATTGTACGGCATGTAGCTGGTAAGATTTTCGAAACTCCATTGAGTAACGTATCTTTCTTGCGTGATGTTCTTTATTAATGAAGGGTCATTCATGGGATAATACAAGAGAGTGTATCCTTGGTAGATACCAGACCACTGTTCATCTTCACCACCAGGCACTTCCAATGAAACGTTGATGCTGTAAGCGCTGGTGTTATAGCCACTTATTGTCATGACCTTGTTCGACACTGAAAATATACATGTAATTTAATAAAAGGAACTTATAAGACAGTYGAAACTTTCCAGATTTGAAGTCAGTATTAAATTTCAATTCGGAAAATCGAAGTTATAAAAAAAAGTTTAAATCGTTTTCCAAAAGTAGGCTGTCACCTTAATATGTTTTTGTGTTATGGTTAAATTTTGCATTTCTGTATGTATTGATCAAGATAAATAACAAAAGCTAGTTACATATGTATGTATTTATAGACATCTAGAGGGTAACATTTAGTGTTACCCTCCTTTATTGTAAATAATACACCATTGTAAAAAAACTGTTATAAAACCTCTCGCGTTATGACTGGAATCAAGAGAATATGAACTAAGAGAAGGAATCCCCGTGCCCCATCATGTGCACACTTTGATGCTATTTTTAGAATCATAGTGCTATTTTTAACTCGTTACCATGCCCGCTTGAAAATCATGCTTTCCTTTAATGCCTCGTTTTGGGACACGAAAAGCGCCATATTTCGTTTCGTCCACGACAAAAACACAGGCTTTGTTTACTGCAAGACTGGAAGCCGTCTACCCTCAAGAAATCACACAATCAGGTTCTTCGCTCAAAATATCTTAAGCTAAAAATAGCATCAAACTGTGCACATGATGGTTACAAGGCTATATAGGTAGGATTCGTTCTCTTAGTTCATATTCTCTTGTTGGAATTTTAAGTAAAATAGCTATTCTACTACAACTCACTTCGGGCGTCATTAATAAAGTTTATTCGACACACATTTCGAGGATTCACCGGACTTCCCTTCGAGCTCCCAAACTCAACACGTGTTCAACCCAACCACAGGGAATCCAATATCACAATTCGCAAAGTAATTTGAAATCTAAATTATTCTCTCTCCTCCCCTCGCCTCGTACTGGAAGACCTATCGCTAATTTGACGAATAAAATAGCTGAACACGTTATATACATTTAATATAAATGTTACACAAACATACCGCCAGTTTGGGAGTGGCCAATTATATTGTTCTTTAAGCCACCGTTGTACAATGAAATCGTTGTGTCACCGTCATTGAAGTCGACGCCAATGGTAATATTGCAGGTTAGAAAGGATGGTCCACTGAAAAATGATATGACGCAAAGAAAAAAATAAAAATAAAAAATTAGGAAAGCAATCCACTCTAGTAAATGAGAAATTAATGGATCGTGAATGCGAGGCAACATGAAAATACAAAAACAAAAGAAATCGCACTTTTTCTCGATGGAATTTATGGCATTCCTTTTGTCATTCCATGTTAGCCTTGTATTCAAGACAATTTTAAAAGAAGGGTGCATTTATTCCTTCTGGCAGATAGCCCCGAGTGAATATTAACCAGTGTGTAATCAAGTTCACTACGATGTTTATCGGGTGCGACCCACGTGACTCAAAAAGTCTCGAGACATAAACAACAAGAAAAGGCCCCATTTTGGTTGATATAACAAGAGACATATATATTTGGTACTAGCTTTTAAAAATATTTCGTTTGGCATTTTTTTGTATGAAAATAAATTCGAAGAGTTTCCCAAAATTGATCGAGGAAGGATATTCAGTCGTCATACTTTACGCTCTTCTATTAAGTATATTCATTTTTCAAAAGCAAAATGCCTTACCCGCAATGAAACGAGATATCATTTGCAGTTATTCCAGGGAAATCAGTCTTTGCCTGAAATATTAAAGATAAAGGAATGTGAAATGAGCTGAGATTGATTGATGAAAGGCAATGAGTTCATCCATTCAACTATCTATCCCTCCATTCCCCCACTCTCCATTATCCATTAATCCATCCTTCTATTTTTTTGCTTTCTTTCTTTCTTTCTCCCTCCCTTCCTTCCTTCCTTCCTCCCTTCCTTCCTTCCTCCCTTCCTC